AACAAGCATTATCTTATTACCTGAGAGTTTCTTAGATATAGAAACTTCCTAACCCCACCCAGACCTATAGAATGTGATCTCTGGGTGATTTGTATGTATACTAAGGTTAGTGAAGCATTAGTAGACCCATTACATCATTGAATCCTCATAGCAATCCTGTGAAATATGACTATACCGATTTTATAAATAAGGAAACTCAGACTCAGAAGACTAAGTAGCTTACCCAAAGTCACAAAGCTATTGGGAGATGGGATTCAAATTCAAAGATATATCTAAAAAATCCTTTCTATAATACACTGTCCCTCAGGGAAAAGGTCTAGAATAGCATTATCTAACAGAAATAGGATGCAAGCCACATATGTAATTTTAAATTTCCCAGTAGCCACATAAAAAGAAACAGTAAAATTAATTTTAATAATGGAGTTTTTTTAACCCAACATATCTAATATATTATCATTATATATTCAATATAAGCAACTTAGTGTGTGTTTTTCTTGTTTGTTTGTTTTGGGTACTAAGTCCTTGAAATCCAGTGTGTATTTTACACTTAGAGCACAACTCAATTCAGAATAGCCACATAACAAATGTTCAATAGCTACATGTGGCTAGTTATCATTTTGGGCTAGGGGACAACACAAGTCTAGAATGTCTTGCATACTAACAATATTATTATAACATAAAACTGGTAGTTTACTACAGAAATCACTGCATAGAGAAAATGAACTCCATGTTACTTTCTCCACATCTTTACTAGGCACTAACAAAAAAGAAAATTGCATATTGTTATCAAAGTTGACAGATTCAGATTCTGCCAAACTGACACATCAATTATAACCTCTGGGAATTATGATGACAATAGGTCACAACATAGGGCATTGCAAGTAATATTCAGAACAGTCATGTAAAGAGGCACTCAGGAAATTTTACAGTATTTGAAATCAAAAATAGAGTTGGGGGAAGGGTGGAGACCTTTTCTTTTGACCAAAAGTAGAATATAAAATAGACTAATGTAATTCTAACTACAGGCCAGAATTAATTTGGCAAAATAAACATATTTAATTCCTGTTACAATGAATGATTTACAGATTATACACCAAACTCAACAGGACTTATGAATTACCATAATAAAAGCTGCCACAAAGTTTTGACATTTAAGTATCAATTAGCTGATGGGTTGTGGTTCCTTTCTTAGGTGCAGGTTTGTATGAAAATGGTCTTTAAAAAGGTAACATAAAAAGAGAAAATATTTGAAACTAAATTAGATACTTCTGCTGCTCACCTAACATTCTTGGAGGGAAAAAAGACTAAATTTAAAAATACATAAAGGGATTTAGAAATTATCAATTTAAACCATCTACCCACTGAACCAATTCAATAAAACGGGTATAAATAGAGCAGTATCATACTATTTATAATTTAAGAGCATGCGACAAATTCACACTCCTATTATTTGTATGTACTATTATTTTCTGTGGAAATATCTTGGGTTAATTACAATCCCGCTTTTCACGTCAGTCACTAGCTCAAAAAAAAAAATCTTTTGGGCTAGGGGACAACACAAGTCTAGAATGTCTTGCATACTAACAATATTTTTATTAAAAAAATCTTTTTTTTTCCTCCAGATAAATTAAATAAATGGCTATCTTTTTAAACAACTAATCAAAAGGAAAAGATCAGGTTATTAACAGTCATTTATATCAAATTACAAATATCTGAAGACTTCTTTATATTTCTCCAATTGCTAACGGCTAATGTTTAATAGAAAACATATTTTACCCTTTATTCAAAATATACAAAACAGGAAATGTTCTACTTAAAAGTTCTAATCAACAGAAATTCAACGTTGGGCATACTAAGTCAGGTGTGATTCAGCAGATTGTTGCTGTTAGGTGCTGTCAAGTCAGTTCCCTCTCATAGCGACCCTATGTACAACAGAAGGGAACACTGCCCAGTCCTGTGCCATCCTCACAATCATTGCTATGTTTGAGCCCATTGTTGCAGCCACTGTGTCAATCCATCTCTTTGAGAGTCTTCCTCTTTTTCGCTGACCCTCTACTTTACCAAGCATCATGTCCTTCTCCAGGGAATGGTCCCTCCTGATAAGTATGTGAGACGAAGTCTCCCATCCTTGCTTCTAAGGAGCATTCTGGCTGTACTTCCTCCATCTTAATATTTCTTAAGAGTTCCAAAGTGATAGTTGTAACTAAATGCCCTGATGTTTCCATTTTTAGCTTTCACTATTATCTCCTATTAAAAATTAGCTTGTGGAATGCAGGGGCCATACTTGGAAATAAGTCTTCAGTCACAACTCATTTTAGCTAAATGGAGTCCAATACTTCATACTACTCTAAGAATTATTTCCGTTATCATATATATTACTTCTCTTAAGAAAAATTACTGTATGGAAATCTACTACTTCATTAAAGGTTTAAATTTTCCCTAAATAAAACATGGGCCTTGAATTTTATCTTAATAAGACATGAAATGTCAATGTCAACAGATACTGCCTTTTAATCATACCAAGCACAGAAGTGCCACAGCCTGCAACCATATTATAAATAAGAAAGGCTTTGCCACTAATTATTTGTGTGACCTTGGTCAAGTTATAATTCCCCATGTCTTAGTTGTTTCACCTTACTCTATAATCCTGTAATTCAAAATGCCCTAATTAACAGGCATTTAACAACAGGTTTTGTTTTAATTAATTCAAAAAGTAATCAGCCATGAACACTAAATACAATCCATAAATAAGTACAGATAGTTATAGCCCAGCATTAGTAAGATGGCTTCTATACTCACAAAAATTGTTCCTAATCTAGCTTGTTTTAGAAACTCAGGTTCTTTAGTCACAAACAGAAACCAGGCAGAAGAATGGAAAAGGCTCAGTAATCCATTACTAATACTGGGGAAAAAAGCATTCAAATTCCTGGCAATATGTTAGGCGTTTCATGCTAGTATATGGCTAACACATTAATTCTTTAAACAGATCAATGATGTGAAACAAAGAAAAAAAATTAATTTCATCTTTTTCTTCTAAGTCGAGAAATCATTTTTGAGTTCTTTCAAAAACTCTGCCCCTTTCTTCCAACAATTCAAGTTGATGGAAACTAAAACAAAACACTTCATTAGTTGATACCTGGCTCCTAAAAGAAAAAAATCACTGTTTTTTTCTCCCTTCCTCTTGTCTAATGACTAGCTATTTGGAGAAATACTTTTCCGGATATTATAATTCTACCAAGTTCTTACCAACCATTAAGGAACAAAAACTTTCAAAATGTTTATCATTATTTCCATTTTGCCCACAACTTACACGGGTCCATTTGAGACATAAACTCTAAATCAAACTCCACTTTAAAATATACAATGACAACAAACACATCCAAAATCTATTTTTAAAGTGGTATTCATTCTTTTGGTTTTCTAAAATGAGATTTACTTGACCTATTTTCATGTGTTTTTAGAGCACCCAGTCATTCAGTACAAACAATACTTGCTGGTCGTAAAAACAACAGAACATCATAAACCCTGTGTTATCTGTGTGGGTTATTTTCTTTATGTTCTACGTACCGTGTCTTTTAAAAGTCTAAATATTGATTCACCTATTGAAAAGTCAAAAAGTCTTAAATCTTCTAATTTCTGTAATTATATACTACTTTCAATGCTGATGTTAAACTTTCACACCTGATTAAGACACCCCAAATGTCAATCATACAAAGACAAAGCGTTTTCTATCATCCATAAGCTATCTTCTCCCCAGTTCCACACTAACTCAATATTACAAAAATGTTACTTAACAAACAAAATGTGCGTACTTGAGAAACTTGAGAAACAAGTGCTCACTAAAATAACATTTAGGGAAAAGAAATAAAACCACTGGAAAATGGGTAACTGAAGGGAAAAAAATGTAGTTGCCAGAATGTGTGCGTAAACTTAACAGTCCTGTAGATTTTACCTCTGGAATTAACAACTATTCCATCTCTACACTCTCCAAACATTTCACAACCTTCCTCGAGAAGCCTTCAGAAAATAAAAAAGTGACAATGGAGGAAGACCTGTACTCTTTCAGACTGGGTGAAGGGTAGGGATAGAACTCCGCACCCAGCAACCAGAAGAACAAAGCAACAGTCTGCGCTTTTAGGATGCACTTAGGTTTGGAGACGCAAAGGGTATTCTGAGAAATCTCTTAATTGTCCTGATGTTTAATAACAGTCAAAACAAAGATCCAGGAATATGCTGCGCTGGGTTTAACCACTGCAAGGTGGATGAATAGCTGTCTTCGTATCCATCTGGGTCTAGACAAGACCCAGACAGTAAGCAGGAAGAGGAAGAAGAGGAAGAGAGGAAGGAAAGAGAGACAGCAAAGGCACTCGAAAAAGACAAAATACATTCAGACGCGGGGACTGTACACCCAGGCCTCGGTCTGACACAAGGCCCAAACTGTCTGACTCCTCACGGGAAAGAGAGAGCAGATTACCCCCAAACCACCGCCTCCCCTAAGCTTTGAGGATAAGAGCCCCCGGAGAGATGCCTGACACTGGGGGCGAGGGGGATAAACAGGGACCCAGCCAACACCAAAGGCCGCGACGCGGACCCCGGGGGAAAAGGCTGCGCAGTAATGGCCGCTGCTCCGCTTCTCGCACCCGGACCGAAACCAGCTCCGGGCCGTCGCCCAGGGCAGGGGCTGTAGCGGCTGCGGGCAACACTGAGGCCGTCAGTCTTCTTGTTGCGACAGCAGTCACGGCGGGGGCGGCGGGAAGGGCTTAGCTGTCCCATCCTGCCTCAGAGCGGACAGCCGGGGCCACGCCGGCCCAAGGGCGTCGATCTACGTACCGGTCCTGACCCCGCCGCCGCCCCTTTCAGGCCCCGACCGCAGGGCCAACACAGAACGGGTCGCGTCCAGGGGTGACACCGCGAGCTAGCCCTCCTCTCCCGGAGATATGATCCTCTGGAGTGGCCAGCCTCCACCCTGCCCCCCACGAAGGCCTGGCCGCTAACCCCACCTCTTGGTCACCGCCGCGGCCACTTCGCAGTCTTTCCTCTTCGTCCTCAGAGCCCGCAGCGGCCGGGGACGCGCGCGGAGGTCATGTGACCGCCCGGCGCGTCGTGGGGGGAGGGGCCCCGCGGATGTGGGGGCGGGGCTGCGTGGGGCGGAAGCTGCGCCGCACAGCCGGGAGCTCACGCCAACCCTACTTGTTTATGCCCCGTAACGAAGTTCTTCCTGTTTGCGTGCTTGCTTCTTCCTCAGACTACCTGCAATTTCGCTTTATATATTGTTTTATGAATATATTTGTATATTGTTTTACTAATAATTAGGTCCAGGAGGCTCTGAAAGAGCCAAAAGGAGATTTTGGGTGCAGGAAGTGGCACGTATAGCGGACCAGCAGGTGGTGCTGCTCAGGAACCCGGCTTGGCCATTTCGAAGAAACCCTTGAGCACCTAGCTGGCTTTCGGTGTGAAGAGCCCTTGGCAAAAGTACTCTTCTCGTTTGGCCTCTTTCCAAAAAAAAAAAAAAAAACAAAAAACAGTGCTTTCAGACGTCCCAATTCACCCTCGGAATGTTGAGCAATTTAATTTTAAAAAAAGTACCCATTTTTCTCCACAGAAAAGAGCGTAGGAAGCTGGAGAAGGAGATTAATTAGCATACCAAAACCAAACCCACTGCCCTCAAGTCAATTCTGACTCACAGCGACCCTATAGGGTTTCCAAGGCTGTAACCTTTACGGAAGTCGACTGCCACGACTTTCTCCAGAGGAGCGACTGGTGGGTTCAATCTGCTGACCTCTGTTAGAAGCTGAGCGCTTAACGCTGTGCAACCAGGGCTCTTTAATCAGCATACAAAGCTGTAATTTAAAAATTGCATTATTTTTGTAGCGTGTGTGTAATTTTAAACATCAAAAAAAACTGGCCGTGTTCTCCATTTTATTTTAGCATGTGTTTTACCTTTTTTAGAACTGACTGAATTGTCTTAATTTGTAGGAAATGTGGAGTGTGGAAGGGAATGCTTTTTTTCTTAAGAGAGTATCTATTTCAACATTCCATGACGATAGTATTGCATTTTGAGATTTCATTAACTGTTTTATTCAGGCTTGAAAGTTTTTAGTGTCTTTGTGTTACTTGGTGGAAACCCCAGGTTCTTGGCCAATAAACGAGAGACCGAGGTGGGAGAGCAGGAAAGTCACCTTTAGTTCATTGTACAAGGAAAAGGAGTCAGTCGGAGCCGTTGCCACAACTGCTCCCCAAGAGTGAGCAGGCAAGTTACTTTTAAGGGGTTTACAAGTAGGGAGTTAATACAAGTTACTTCAGCAAGTCAGCAACATTCTTAATCATGCTATACAGGCACATTGGGGTTTACATATAACCTCCAA